AAAATAAAATTAATTAAATTAAAATAAAATAAAAAGAAAATTAAATTAAAAATTAAACTAAAGGAAAATTATAAGAAAATAATAATAAAACAGTTTTTTAATTGTATTAATTCCTCATCGCTTCAAATAGACACCTTTTGAATTCCTTTATATATTACTTATTTATCTTCTTACTTTTCACTCTCATGCAAAATTCCATTCAAGCTTTAAAATTTGTCTCCTTTGGTATTTGGCAAGTCCACATCAAACATACAATAAGTCGTAAATGTACAGCTCCTTTTACTAAAGAACTGTCTCAGATATATACACAACATTATGTCGTTCTCTCTCCCACTCTCCTTCTCTCTCTCTCCCTCTCTCTCTCACACCCCTAGTCAACCGGCATCGTTATAATTGTTTGTGCTTTAGCTTAAAACAACAGAAGTTGGGCAACCTGTTACAAGATGCGCAGATAAGGTTAACAGCCCAGTCGGGCATTCAGCAGCCCGTCGACTTGGTCATAAAATACAGAAATAATCAACTTTAAATCTAACGATTTACAACAGAAACTCCAGTCGGGACTGGGCGGGGCAGAGCTGGGCTGGGCAACTCATCGACTGGGCAAAGCGGATTTTCGAGCATATTTACAGGCGGCTTAACGTGCGTGAGGGTTGCATTTTTCGATTAAAGGCACAGAGCATGGCACTGATACAGATAAGCTACAAAATTTACATACATCAAAGAGTTGTTGCATGAACATAAAAACACACTCACACACACACAGAAAACGAAAACGAGGGTGTGTGTGTGTGTGTGTGTGTGAGCGCGCAAAAACTTGACATTTTGCACTTGGTCAGGCATGGACAGTAGCGGGCTAAGCTATAGGTAGATATAGGAGTAGGGGTAGAGAGGCGTGGCTGGTCTGAAGAGCTGCACAACTTATGGCGACATCGATAGTCCAAATACTTTGCTCGAAAAAAAGAGAGAAATGAAAAACCACTCGACAAGCTGTTGGCATACATACCATGCATCGAAAGACACTTCAAAGTATGCTACAGTTGCTGGCAAATGTCCCTCTCAACGCACACATACAGTCACACACACACACACACATATGCAATCATATATCTACAAGCCTCAATACTTGAGCTCAGTCGCAGCCCGCTGTCCCCATAAAACTTGTCCGCCCGTCATTTATCTTCGCTGCATTTCGTTTTTTTTTCGGTTTTTTGACCCAAAAAACAAGAAGGGAATAGACTGTTGGGTTTGTCGAAATGCTAATACTCTGCTAAGTATAAAAAATAATGAGTACAAACTAAAAAAGCTGAGTTAAAAACTTAAGAATTATGGGAAAAAAATACTGATA